CACCAATTCCATGCGTTCACCACCAATTTCAAACATTCTCCACCAGTTCCACATGTTCACCACCAGTTCCACTCGCTCACCACCAGTTTCACAAGTTCCCCACCACTTCCATGTACTCCACCAGTTCCACATGTTCACCACCAGTTCCACGTTCACCACCAGTTCCACACGTTCACCACCAGTTCACAAGTTTCCCACCAGTTCCACATGTTATCCACTAGTTCCATATGTACTCCACCGGTTCCATATGTTCTCCACCAGTTTCACATGTTCACCACAATTTCCACATGACCACCAGTTACACGCTCATCACCAGTTCCACACGTTCACCACCAGTTCCACACGTTCTCCACCATTTCCACATGTTATCCACCAGTTCCATATGTTCACCACCAGTTCCAGTTCTCCACCAGTCCATATGTTCTCCACCAGCTCCACACGTTCACCACCTGTTCCATATATTCACCACCAGTTCCACATGTTCTCCACCAGTTCCACATGTTCTCCACCAGTTCACACGTTCACCACCAGTTCCACACATTCACCACCAGTTCCACATGTTCTCACAGATCATATGTTCTCCACCAGTTCCACAGTTCATCAGTCCACATTCACCACATTCTGTCTCTTTCACATGTTCACCACAATTTCCACATGTTCACCACCAGTTACACACGCTCATCACCAGTTCCACGTTCACCACTAGTTCCACACGTTCTCCATTTCCACATGTTATCCACCAGTTCCATATGTTCCCCCCAGTTCCACAAGTTCTCCACCAGATCCATATGTTCTCCACCAGTTCACACGTTCACCACCAGTTCCACACATTCACCACCAGTTCCACATGTTCTCCACCAGTTCCACATGTTCTCCACCAGTTCCACACGTTCACCACCAGTTCCACACATTCACCACCAGTTCCACATGTTCTCCACCAGTTCACATGTTCTCCATCATTTCCACATGTTATCCACCAGTTCCATATGTTCCCACCAGTTCCACAAGTTCTCCACCAGATCCATATGTTTCCACCAGTTCCACGTTCACCACCAGTTCACATTCACCACCAGTTCAATTTCTCCCAGTTCCACATGTTCTCCACCAGTTCCACACGTTACCACCGTTCCACATTCACCAAGTTCACATTCTCACAGTTTCCATGTTCTCACCAGTTCCCGTTCACAGTTCCAATTCCACCAATTCCATGCGTTCACCACCAATTTCAAACATTCTCCACCAGTTCCACATGTTCACCACCAGTTCCACTCGCTCACCACCAGCTCCATATGTTCACCACCAGTCCCACACGTTCATTACCAGTTCCACATGTTCACCACCACTTCTACAGGTTTACCTCCAGTTACCACACGCTCACCACCAGTTCCACATGATCACCACCAGTTCCACACGCTCATCACCAGTTTCACAAGTTCCCCACCACTTCCATATGTACTCCACCAGTTCCACATGTTCACCACCAGTTCCACACGTTCACCACCAGTTCCACACGTTCACCACCAGTTCCACAAGTTTCCCACCAGTTCCACATGTTATCCACTAGTTCCATATGTACTCCACTAGTTCCATATGTTCTCCACCAGTTTCACATGTTCACCACAATTTCCACATGTTCACCACCAGTTACACACGCTCATCACCAGTTCCACACGTTCACCACCAGTTCCACACGTTCTCCACCATTTCCACATGTTATCCACCAGTTCCATATGTTCTCCACCAGTTCCACACGTTCACCACCAGTTCCACACATTCACCACCAGTTCCTCATGTTCTCCACCAGTTCCACATGTTCTCCACCAGTTCCACACGTTCACCACCAGTTCCACACATTCACCACCAGTTCCACATGTTCTTCACCATTTCCACATGTTATCCACCAGTTCCATATGTTCCCCACCAGTTCCACAAGTTCTCCACCAGATCCATATGTTCTCCACCAGTTCCACACGTTCACCACCAGTTCCACACATTCACCACCAGTTCCACATGTTCTCCACCAGTTCCACATGTTCTCCACCAGTTCCACGTTCACCACCAGTTCCAGTCTACCAGTTCCATGTTCTCCACCAGTTCCACATGTTTCCCAGTGTTCACCACCAGTTCACACATTCACCACCAGTTCCACATGTTCTCCACCAGTTCCACAAGTTCTCCGCCAGTTCCACACGTTCACCACCTGTTCCACACATTCACCACCAGTTCCACATGTTCTCCACCAGTTCCACATGTTCTCCACCATTTCCACATGTTATCCACCAGTTCCATATGTTCCCCACCAGTTCCACAAGTTCTCCACCAGATCCATATGTTCTCCACCAGTTCCACATGTTCTCCACCAGTTCCACACATTCACCACCAGTTCCACATGTTCTCCACCAGTTCCACATGTTCTCCACCAGTTCCACATGTTCTCCACCACTCCTGCAATTCACAACACATTTTCTCTCATGTCCCGACGATTTCACAGTTCTTTTAGATCATAAATAAATCCTTCATTGTTCTTTTTTGTGTTGTTCTATATTGTCTTGGATTAGATGTTGCATTGCTTATACAACACTGCTGATTGAGGTGATGGCTGAGGGGAGTTACTTAAGCAAGCAAAATAAAAAGGAGAATACCAACCTTGCTTTACCTAGTTACTTAATCAACGTAAACAGCAAAGGATAGTACTGACCGTAATATACGTTGTTTCTTAAACCAAGCAAACAACAAGGTGTATGCTGAACCTACCAAACCTTGTTAATTAAGCAAGAAAAACAGTAAAGGAAAATGCGGAACTTAGTCACGTTATTACTTAAGAAGAGAAATAACTGGAAATAAACATCTGATGGCCGTGGGCGAATTACCTTACTGTTTGCTATTGTTGTATACCTACGCTGTGTCGGCTTATTAGAACCTGTATACATCCACGGTTATGTACAGTGTATACCAGCGTTGTCTATACACATGCTGAACTGTATGTCTGCATAGTCGATATACATGCCAAATCAATTGTAAACCTGGATGATGATTTTACAGAGTAAATAGTACTATTATTATTTTTATCATTATTATTATTACTATTGTTGTTGTTGTTGTTGTTGTTGTTGAGATAATACTGAATTGATTTTACCCAATTGTTTGAGCATAGAGAACAACAGGGTATTACTGAGGTTAATATACCTAATTATTTCAACAAAGGAAACACCATAACAAATACTGAATGCCATAAACGCAGTTAATTAAACAAAATAAACAATTAAGTTGGAATTAAACAAGCAGGTAATCATCTCATTTAACCTTTCACCTGTAGTATAAGAGAATACTGTACACTCCAATTACCAACGCCAAAGCAAGTTCAAAGGTCTCTGAAGTGTACATAATAAACGCCACGAGTAATGGTGCCGTCCGCCTTATCTGCAAAAATCCACTCGTGAGGAAAGTACCTGACACTTCACACGTGGATAATCCCTAACAAGACGATCTGTCAGGAAGAGTGTAGTTAGTTAATTAGGAGAGGTTTATGGTAGGGTGTAGGAGAGAAAGAAAGAGAGAGGGGAGTGCAATAGAAGCGGTAGACAGACAGACAGAGGAGAAAAAAGGGAGAAAGAAAGAATATAGAAGAAAAGACGTAAGAAGACACATAGAGAGAGAGAGAGAGAGAGAGAGAGAGAGAGAGAGAATATGACAGAAATTATGTAAAGATATCTCTCGTGCTGTTACATCCCTGCTCTCACCATTACGTCATACAGTAAGCCCGTCTTAGTCAAGTAGCTGGACGTACTGGAGAGTCTGTACTGTATAGATCCATGGATCATATGAAGATTACTCCAACAGCTTATTTCACCTGATGATTAAACACCCTTTCCTCAGCTTCCGTCAGTGTCCTTAGTTTTTGTGAACAAATATATTTTCTTTTATTCAGGAATATATATTTTAATTATAATTTAGTGTTTGTTTTTTGTTTGCCTTTTGGGGGGGGGGGTGTTAAGTGATTGTAAAGATAAACTTGAGAATTGCCTGCTCCTTTTATTTTATCGTTATGAGAAAAAATATAATTATAATAATAATAATAATAATAATAATAATAATAATAATAATAATAATAATAATAATAATAATAATAATAATAATAATAATAATAAAAATAATAATAATAATAATAATTATAATAATAATAATAATAATAATAATAATAATAATAATAATAATAATAATAATAATAATAATAATAATAATAATAATAATAATAATAATGATAATAATAATTACAGTTACGGAAAAATTCTGATGAACAATAAATGCTGTAATAATTGTTCACTGTTGTAGGCCAAAGAAACAAATGGCAGAACAGGCTGAATAACTTCACAAGACAGAGAGAGGGAAAAACGGAATACCAGACCACCAACGAGCTTTTACAATTTTCCCTACACACAAACACGCTGGTTTCGTTCACCCTGGCAATTTGATGCGTATTTCGTGCAACTTGGGGCTGAAAGGGGCATGTCTAAATTTAAATTGAAACAGTTTATTTATCGCAGAAAAAACACAGATACAGAGTGAACAACAACAACAACAACAAAGACATTTGTGATCCTCTCGAGTGCTGTAACTCTCCTGTAGGCGTCGTCTGTCTCCTTTATGCCTTCCAGCACCTCACTCGGGGAAGACGAGGACCTTAGACTCCTTCCCAGTGACCTGTGGCGTGGTGTCCCGTCCTTCAGTAACACATATGGGTTACTTATGTAGAGTAGGTGTACAGTTTTATTCCTGCAGCAACTCTCCCGTAGTAAGTCAAAGGCTCCACTTCTGCTATACAGAGCCTCCAGTGCGTCAGAATGGGGTTCCAGCTTGGGGTTCCGTGTAAACTTATGCACCTTCCCACCATTCACTCCTCCAGCCGCTCGGGACCAATCACGTCCTAGCGTCATTGCGGGTAAGGTCTTGCGGTCCAAAGATACAGGGAGGGCTGGGGGGAGGAAGTGATCCACTTGATCTGGATGGAACTATAATGGAAAGTCTCTAGACGCCGTAGATCTCCTTTGAACGAGACAGGCCGATTGGGTCTACTTGTTACGGAATGAACCGCGCCGGAGCATTTTTAACGTCCTCTCTCCAGTGTGGGTCAAGGAGGTGATAGTAGTGCGGTCGGGGTGTGGTGGAGGTGTGGAATTGATGTGGAGGAGGTGTAGAGGTAGTGTAGACGGGGTTTATCTAGGTTCCTCTACTCCACTCTCCTCCCAGACTCTACCTCCTCTCCTCCCACACTCTACCTCCTCTCCTCCTACGCTCTACCTCCTCTCCTCCCACACTCTACCTCCTCTCCTCCCACACTCTACCTCCTCTCCTCCCACACTCTACTTCCTCTCCTCCCAGACTCTACCTCCTCTCCTCCCAGACTCTACCTCCTCTCCTCCCAGACTCTACCTCCTCTCCTCCCACACTCTACCTCCTCCTTTCCCAAACCCTACCTCAGACTATTGTGTGTGTGTGTGTGTGTGTGTGTGTGTGGTGTAATGGTTCAGCATGCTCGCCTCGCAAGTCAATGGACCCGGGTTCGATCTCCGGCCAGGGTGAAACTATGGGCAAGTTTCTTTACGCCATTTGGTTCTGTCTACCCAGCAGTAATTGGGAACCTGGATGTTAATCGATTTGCGGATCTTGTTCCGGGGTAATGGTTAGTCAGTGCAGTTGGCGAGTTGTCCGGTCTTCTCGGACTGTTCCTTGACACTGGGTCATGCAACTCGTTAACTTAGGGTGTGGTTGTTGAGTTGGTGACAGCTTCTACATTTTAAACAAATTCACGCCTCGGTAGCCCTTGCGCCAGCCGTCATGAACACGAGGGGCAATCATTATTATATGTGTGCGTGTGTGTGTGTGATTTATCTCACTAGTATGTATTTACAGTATGTAACTGCGTTCTAAACCGTGTTTTCTGCATGCATAATGGCTGTATATATGTGTATGTATCTTTGTATAGCTGTCTGTGTGTATATATACATGTGTGTATGTGTATGTGAACATACACCATGAACTTGTGTGCCTGCATGTGTCGGGTGTGTAGTAGTGTTTCTCTGGCACCACCTGGACGTACACACATTATCAATGTTATCCTAAAGGACTGTACACATCAAAACAAACACATGCACATGTACACTACCCCATCTCCGTGTATACACACACTGGCTGTAAGAAAAAATGGGGTGGGCAATGTACTGTAAAGTCTTCATATCCTACAGTATCATAAAATTTATAAAGCAGTGTAAAATATGTATGAATTTTATGTTTATAGTTAAGCTGTTGACAGAAAAAACTTTTGTTCTACAAGCAAATCCTCTCGGTTGGAAATATTTACATATAATATTTTCTAATGTCGGTAGAAAGTAAGATTATCAGACACAGTAACAACGATGGAAATATATAAATAAATACGAGCAATATGACCAAAATAATGCAAATACAAAAAATTAAGAAAACATATTGTATGTGTACAGTATATGCGTGAAAACTGTTAGATCTAAAAATAGAGTTACGAGTAAAGTTTAAAAGTAAAACTATCAAAAAGGGTCATTAAAACATGAGTAATTATACAGAAACTCTCAATAAAAGTTTCCAAAGTTGAAATTAAAATGGGAAGTGCATTTAGATGTGTAGTTAGAAGTAATTGCTTATGAAACTAATACCCGGGAGGCAGGCAAAAGTGTTACGTGACAAAAATGACGATGCGGAGGACATAGGGACGAATGGTAATGGGGATAATGATACTACTACTACTGACAATAACAACAACAGTAGCAATCATTAAAATACTGTAATAATAATAATACTAATGATAATAATAAATGATACTACTACTACTGACAATAACAACAACAGTAGCAATCATTAAAATACTGTAATAATAATAATACTAATGATAATAATAAATGATACTACTATGGTGCTTCTGCTGGCATTAGCAGCAACGGTGGCAGTGTGAACAAGATATGACCAATGATAATGCTATTGATGATGATAGGGTGATGCTACTGCTGCGCGATAGTAATGACAACGGTGAGCCGATCGTTGAATAACATATTAATAATGAAATGCTATTGATGTTAATAGGTAATTACTGCTGCTACTGACAATAACAGCAACGGTAGCAATCGATTTAAAATGCTGTGATAATAATAATAATAATAATGATGTGTGTAGTGCTATGCTGACAATAACAACAGTGGCAATCGTTAAAATACTGTAATAATAATAATGCCTAATGATATAAACCAATAAAATGATACTACTACTACTGACAATAACAACAACAGTAGCAATCATTAAAATACTATAATAATAATAATAATAATGATAATAATAAATGATACTACTACTACTGACAATAACAACAACAGTAGCAATCATTAAAATACTGTAATAATAATAATAATAATGATAATAATAAATGATACTACCACTACTGACAATAACAACAACAGTAGCAATCATTAAAATACT